TACAGCTGGATATCTTCCATAGTGCAGTCCAAGATTTTGGGTTTTACGTAAATACCTCAAAACCCTTATTATTGCCTTCCAGTGTTCATCATCGGGGTTGCTAGTATATCTACTTAGCTTACTAACCACAAAGGCAACATCAGGCCTGGTACAACTCATCAGATACATCAAACTTCCAATAATCCTAGCGTATTCTACTTGAGAAATACACTCCACGATTTTTGGTAAGATGAGTGTTTTTATCTAATGGCGTCCTTGTGCTTTATTCCATCATAATCTGAAGCCAAAAAATAATAATCTGTAGGTCGTAAGCTCAATGTAATGACTATAGAGTGTATTTTTTGGCGACCTGCGGACACGAATGTCGTCCGAAAACCTATCATTTTAAAGATACGGTCATAGAGTGTATTTAATAATAATCAAAGATACCATAGCGCAGATAGTTTAGTGAGTCATTTTGCTTTATTCCATCATAATCTGAAGCCAAAAAATAATGAATCATTGGCTCCATTGCAAATGATGGAAATGAATCATAGTAACTTATATTGAATTTTCAAACTTAAGTGGTCATGATACTATATTGTACTACTTACGTCCCATTAACATTGGGACATGAGAATGTAGTGTGGTTATTAAGAAAAGAGAGTTTATGTAGTTGATATTAAATTAATAAAATAGGAATAAATTAAGAATAAAATGATCAAACATTAATTTTTTACTAGTGGTAGATAGTGAATTGCCTTTAATAGAAGTAAAATATAACATGCAACTTTTCCTTAAATAGGAGTCAATCTCGAATATTCTCTAAATAATTTTAAACATTATTTTTACGCTAATTTGATTAATTAATTGCCCCATAAGTTCCTTAATAAGCGGATCATTTTGTTAGTGGCTTGCGGTCTGATTGTACCAAGTGCATGTTTGGTATACATCAGTCTCTACCTTCTAGCTTTCGTACCGTTTAAAAAGTCTCCAAAAGCTTTTAGTTGTATGTTCGGCATGAAAGATTTTAAGAGCTTTTCAAAATATAAAAGATCTTTTTTGAGATGCTACGGGGAGTAGCATCCGAAAAAAGACCGAGACTTTTAGTATTAAATTGTCCTAACAACTTGTATACCAAACTAAACTATATCAAACAGTCGGCTTTTTACCAAAAAAACTACCGCCTTTTCTTTTTAAGATCTTTTCAGTCACTTAAAGCTAACAGCTACTAAAAAGCTCACAAAAGTATCTTTCCAGCCAGTTGTGCCAAACATACCCCAAGTGTATTTGTCTTAAAGGAAAATATTTGAAGGGTATTAAAGTAATAAATCAAGTGTGCACATAATATACTCTCTGCGTTCTTTATTATCTGTCCTCTTAGGCTTTGGCACGAGTTTTAAGACGAAAATAATAGGGGTGGTGTAAAAGGTGTAGTGGGTTGTGGATAAATGAAAAAGTAGGAAAGAGAAAGGGGTAATGGTAATAAAAGTGGAGTATAAAAGTATTTTGATTGAAAAAATTTACCAAAAAATAATACGAGACAGTTAATAAAGAACAGATGGAGTATCAGTTAAACAAAAAAATTAATAAATCTTAAATCTTAATCAAACAAAAATCTGATATAAATTGAATACATTCTATTGGAAGAATCAAACGGACGAATAAATTTTTTATTCAAGAAAAGAAAATTAAACGGAAGAAAGTTGCTCCAAAGTTAGACTGGGATTGTTGGGCTCCTATGGAAAGGAAGCCCTCCAAAAATGGGCGTATGCCACTAATTGCGACGCACACACGGTATTCTTTAGTAAAAGGCGAAAGAATAGTTCGCTATGTGTGCGTCGCGTGGCTGCGTGGATTCGAAGGTGGCACCAGTTCTGACTTATATACCAAATACGGCTGTGAATGTTTCTAAAGATTTCGGTGTGGGAACGTTTCCATTTATTTCTACTGCCTATTCCTTTACAACTGTCTTCGAAGATTCAGTATGAACTCTGCTCTTTAATTCTCAGCCCTTCCCTTCAACTCTCTGGATCTTCTCCCTTCTCTCCAAGGGTCTTTCTTCATAAAAATTAAAAACTACACAAATCCACGCTTTTGTAGTGGCTCCAGCTTCTTCCTTGAGCCGCACCCCACTTGATCGATGAAATGCAACAAAGAAGTTGAAGTAAGATCAATGTAATTATAGTGGGATCGATGGACTGTTTTGGGCAATTTAGTGGTTCACTATCAAAGGGCCCTCTACACAAACACTGCATAACTGATGATTTCTCATAGAAATTTGCGACAGTTTAAACAATTTTGTATACTTTATTTAATCTTCAAAGAAGTTAAACACTCAGCATTGTTTAAAGCACATTCGATGCATGCAAAAGTGAGATTACTCCTTTAACTACGAATCAGTTTGCAACTTATACGGAGTATTATATATATTCGTTCAGGACTTTATTCTGATAGTAATTTTAATTTACGAGTCTCAAGTATGAGAGTATGATATATAAACCATATTTTTGGATTGTTCATAAATAGTTTTATTCGGATAGAATTTACGGCCAGCTACTAATAAATAGTTTTTGTATATTTGTTAATTAATCATTGAATGAATCTTTGGTGGATTAGCCTAGCTAGCCAGTCCAATGTAGCCAAAGATTATTGATAATCAAACTAGGTCCATATATTTATAATTGTTTAACATACGAATTTCATTTCTGATGGAGGTTTTCAGTTTACGTTCTTTCATTGTTAATTGTGAGTATTATATTGATTGTTCTTCTCTAAGATGAATCTAAACTTTCACACAACTTAAAATTTTCTCGTCGTGGAGGAATGAATTGAACCTTATTAGTAAACCTAGAATAATCTAAATTGGTCCTAAACGAAGGCCATAGGTAACTCAAATAGGATATTATTTGTGCATAGTGGGAATTTGATTAGATCAGAGACCACAAAACGGTGTTGAATAGTTAAAGAATTGAAGCTAATGATGTTTAAAAAGAAAATGTTATGTTTTTAATAGAGGGGTCAATTTGGTAAATCAAGTACTTATTGCTATAAAATATTCTAGAAAAAGTTACATTAGGTTTGAATTGCAGCTTGGTGTTAAAACAATTATATGTTATGTATGGCATGATGAATTCCAGCTAGAGATTAATGGTTGAATTAGAGATTATTATTATTTAAATTGGTACGTAATTATTGCCATTTATATTTTTTTAATATTGTTGAAACAAACTACCTGGACCACTTGCATATTTAAAAACTACGTACAATGTACAAGTATTTAGTTAAATGACAAACATACTATTCTTATTCGATAAAATATATGAAGCACTTTAACATGTTCCATATATTTTTCCAATTTTATTAGATATAAAAAGTATATATTGTTCGATCCAATAGAAGTTCAACGAAGAAAAAATTATAGAAGTATGAAAAAATAGCTTAAATGATCTTCTACGGTGAATTCAGCCAATACAACCAGAAAAGTAACCTCACCTTATTTTTTCTTATTATTACACGATTCAGTGGTCGAAATCGAAAGTTATGTGTTTGGAGAAAAAGTTGGTTGATAAGTCTGATAAACCGAAAAACAGAGTCATCATAGAGGTTCTAAATTGTTTGACAATGAATTGTTATGGAGCCTGAAGTCTTCGTATGCTCTCTAGGCCCTCCTCCGTCAGAGATCCTGGTTAAGCCTCTAAGAAGCATCACGTCGTTGTGAAAGTGAAGGTCAATCAGATGTACAGAATCGGAGGAAGGCTGACCAAATAGATTTGGGAGCGAAAGAGAAAAATACGACGAAGAAATAAGAGGTCCACACTATTTTTGAAATAATGAAATTATAAATGAAAAGGTGAAAGTTAATAAATGAAAGTGTTACTCAAACATGTAATTAACACATGTAAGGGTTAAAAGTGGCTCAAATGGGTAATTAACGCAAAAATAAGTGATATTGGCCTTGGTGCAATTGCTGCCTTTAATGCCATTCGTTCATGCTTCACCGCTCACGCTTCGTTTTTTGATTCGTTTCTAATTTCTATCTATCAGTTTTGTATGTCTTTTAGTTGCTCTGCATTCGTTTTTAATATCCACAATGTGCATGTTTATTAATTTCAATTGTTTCTTTTTTATTAAATTTATTCTTTTAACTTTTTTTGACTTTGAATTGCGGGGAGGGACTATTAGGTATAAATTAGTGACTTTGATGCAATAAAGAATTTATACGCAATTTCGTTTTTCGTCTAGAATTTATACGCACTTTCGGTTTCTTTTTTCCTTTCCAGCCTTTGATTGAAGTAAAATGATTTTTACTTTGTAAGTAAATGTAGGTAATATTATTTTTAAAATCAATAGGTAAAAATAAAATTAAATAGTAATGTGTTTATGTCTTTATACACACAAACAATTATTCTCAAAGAGTTAATTTACCAAACATTTTTCAGATACCGAGCTAACATTATCAGTCAACTAAAATAGTTGACACAACTAGCTATTGTCAATCAGTTGTCATAACCAGCTATTGTCAACGCCATTATAGCCTGAAAACCGGATAATAATGAATTTGACGCAATACCTATTTTTCTTAACTTATACAAGCATTGGATTTTAAAAAATAATGTCAGATACTCTACGTATAAGAGCGTCTAAAGTTGGATTTTTCTTAACTCAAATGAACTGATTTTTATGACTCGTTATACCCATCATCGCCAGAAGATTTTACATCACAAATTTCAATGCCATGAAATATGAAAAAGTTGAAAATTATCTAATTCTTATTTAGTCAAGGTATTAAAGAATGTACAGAACGTAGTAAACTGTTTATTCAAGGGAAAATTGCTTAAAAGTTGGACTGGTATTGTTGGGCTCCTATGGAAAGGAAACCCTCCAAAAATGGGCGTATGCCACTGTTTGCGACGCACACACGGTATTCTTTAGTAAAAGGCGAAAGAATAGTTCGCTATGTGTGCATCGCGTGGCTGCGTGAGCTTAAAGGTGGCACCAGTTCCGAGTTATATACGAAATACGGCTATGAGTATTCCTAACGTTTTCGGTGTGGGAACTTTTCCAATTATCTTCTACTGCCTATTACGGAGTACTCCGTACTTTACAGTTTATGAACTCTGCTCTTGAAATCTCAGCCCTCTCTTTCAACTCTCTGGATCTTCTCCCTTCTCTCCAAGGTTCTTCTGCATAAAAATTAAAAACTACACAAATCCACGCTGCTGTAGTGGCTTAAGCTTCTTCCTTGAGCTGCCCCCCACTTGATCGACGATATGCAACAAAGAAGTTGGATCTATGGACTGTTTTTGGCAATTTGGTGGTTCACTATCATGAAGTGGGTTGCGTCAAAATATGTTTGGTGTGAGAAAATGTACTCCCTCCGTCCCGAATCGAATTGCACACTTTGGCCGACGTAAGGATTAAGAAATGACAATAAATGATGCTTGTTTTTTACGTTTTTGTTCATTTTTCTAAAAGTAGATGTTTTTAAGTTAATGGGGAAAAAGTAAAAGTAAGGGTAAATTTGTCACCGTATTGTTATTTACATACCTAAAATAGAAAGTGAAAAACTATTTTGGGACAACCGAAAAAGGAAATTTTGCAAATCAAATTGGGACGGATGGAGTATATAGTACTACGTGTTAGTCAATTATTAAAGTTAATATAATCGATAATCTGACAGAGAAAAATGCAACAGTTTAAACATTTCTGTTTAGTTTATCTCGTCTTCCAATCCATCGGTGTATCAGTATAACTGTATACTCCCCTGTATAAGAGTTTTTAAACCACATTCGATGGATGCACACAGGATTAGTCTAACTACACATCATTTAGCACCAGGTTCTTTACTTCTTTTCACCTAACACAAAACATATTCGACTATTTGTTCATGCTGATAGTAATATGGGTATGACATATGAGAGTATAATCAGTATATATGATACTCAAGCAACTCAACCAATTTTGTGATTGTTCATATTAAAGTTTTTTTTTTGAGGTATTATAGTGATTAAAGTTCTAATCACTAGTTTTTGAATATTTTCAATTAATCATGGATTGAATGAATCTTTAGTGGATAAGCCTAGTCCAATGTAGTCGGAGATAATTGATTGTAAAATTAGGTCAATATATCAAAATTGTTTAGCATTTCACCATCTAATATTTAACTAAGCATGGATTTCTCAGAGAGCTTTTTAATCTAAGTTCTTCCATTGTGATTTGTGAACTTTTACACAACCTAAAATTTTCTCATGGTGGAGTGAACTTGTAGTAAACCTAGAATAATTTAAATTGGTCCTAAACGAAGGCCAGAGCCCATAAGTAACCCATGTAGGGTATTATTGTGAATAATTGAAACAGGTTACCCTAGGGAGATAAACTAGGGTATATATAATCAAGAGAGTTTCCAAAATACAACAGAATTTCTAATTTAGATAAACTATTACACCCCCTCAAACTGTGCGAGAGATACAACGCGCATGTTGTCTTTTAAAAAATGAAATTGTTGACTAGACAAACTCTTAGTAAAAATATCAGCGAGTTGAAGATGAGTAGGAACATATTTAACTACTAAATCTCCATGGGCAACTCTCTCTCGAACAAAATGATAATCAATCTGTATGTGTTTGCTCCGAGCATGCTGAACGGGGTTAGCAGTCAAATAGGAGGCGGAGATATTATCACAAAATAGCTGAACTGGCTCGCGAACAGGAAACCCAAGCTCAAAGAGAACAGACCGAACGTGTATGGTGTCCTGGACAGTGGACTGCTTTTTAGACTTCCATGAAACAAGATTCGGTCCTAAAAAAACAGCAAATCCAGTGGTGGAGCGAGAGCTATCAAGACAACCAGCCCAGTCAGTATCAGAATAGGCCAAAATACATAGCGATCGAGCAGATGACTGAAGCCACAATCCATGATCAAGAGTGCCCTGCAAATATCTGAAAATGCGCTTGACCGCAAGCATATGAGTAGTACGAGGAGCATGCATAAACTGAGACACTAAATGAACTGCATAGGTAATATCAGACTGTGTCAAAGTTAAATACTGTAATGCACCTACCATACTGCGATACTCAGTGGCATCAGCAAGGAGTTCACCATCTGTGAGGGAGAGAGTAGCGCGAGTAGCAAGAGGAGTGCGAACGGACTTAACAGTGTGTAAGTGAAAGCGATGTAGGAGATCAGAAACATATTTATGTTGAGAAAGAAATAGACCTGTAGGACTCCTGACAGCCTGAACACCCAAGAAAGAGTGAAGATCACCCAGATCTTTCATAGCAAATTGGGAAGCAATGAGGCTAATGAAAGAAATAACAATGGAAGAAGAATTCTCTGTAATAATAATGTCATCGACATATAATAATAAATAAACAACAGAAGAACCCTGACGAAAGATAAACAGAGAATTATCAGACTTACTACAAGAAAAATTATGAGACAGAAGAAAACTACTGAATCGATGGAACCAAACTCGTGGGGCTTGCTTAAGACCATAAATAGCTTTTCACAGACGACACACATGATGAGGGAACTGAGGATGAACAAAACTCCGTGGTTGACGCATGTAAACCTCCTCAGTAAGATGACCATGAAGAAAAGCATTTTTAACATCTAATTGTCGCATAATCCACCCAAAACAAATAGCAATGGTAAGAACAATATGAACAGTGGTGGGTTTAACAACCGGACTAAAAGTCTCAGAAAAATCAATACCAGCCTGCTGATTGAACCCTTGAGCAACCAAACGAGCTTTATGGCGCTCAATAGACCCATCAGAATGAAATTTAGTTTTATAAATCCACTTAGACCCAACCACATTTTTAGAGTTGTCGAATGGGACTAAATCCCAAGTATTATTAGTGATAAGAGCATTAAATTCTTCAGTCATAGCCTCACTCCATTTTAACTGTTTATGTGCCTCAGTAAAACAAGTAGGATCAGCTGAAATAACAACCGTTTGTAAATTAAAAATTGTTTTGGGTTTGAAAATTCCGAACTTGGCATGTGTTTGCATAGGGTGACTAGGAAGTTTAGGGGCAGCAGGGACATTCAGTGAAGGGAAAAGACTTTGAGACGGGCTGGACTGATGGAGGTTGGCTGGTCGTGAAGGTGATGGGGTTGGTGGGTTAGTGAGCGTGACTGGAGAGAGGATATTTGGGATGGAGTGGCGGCTGGATGATGGTTTGTCGAGGGGATCAAGAGGTGGGGCCGTAGGTGGAGAATGGGAGTCTGGTGTGGTGTCTTGGCTAGAGCTGGGCACACTATGGGTTGGGGATAAGAGGGTGGCAGAAGGCTCAGACTGTTGACTTATCTCAACAAAATGTCTAGGGGGAGAGGATATAAGTGGTGGACGAATAGTATTAGTTAGGAAAAAATCTGATGGAGGCTGCGAAACAGACTCAGAAGGAACAACACTTAAAGGCCAAAAGGGAAAAACATTTTCAAGAAATCTAACATGAAGACTAACATAAACCTTATCAGTTTAGGCTCAAGACAATGATACCCTTTATAACCAGATGCATAGCCAATAAAAACACAGTGAACAGAACGAGAAGAAAGTTTGTTGGCAGGAGTAGCATAAATATTTGGAAAACAAGAACACCCAAAAACCCTTAAGAAAGAATAATCAGGAGTTTTCTGAAAAAGTTTTGCGTAGGGAGATGAGCCAAGGAGAAGAGGAGTGGGCAACCGATTAATAATATATGCAGCAGTAAAAATAGCATCAACCCAAAAATGACTAGGCATAGATGCCTCAAGCAACATAGTCCTAGTTAATTCCAAAAGATGGTGATGTTTTCGCTCTGCAACCCAATTTTGTTGGGGAGTGGCCGGGCAAGATTTGCGAAAATAAATACAATGGGTATCAAAAAATTGCTGCATGTTAAAATTAACAAATTCACCCCCTCCATCACTTTGAAAAATTTTAATTTTACAATTAAAAAGATTTTCAACTAAAGCTTTAAAATTTTTAAAGTGATGAAAAACCTCATCTTTTAAAAACACACATAATATTTAAACCTCAAATTAGATAAAACAGGGGACTGCCAAACATCATAATGAATAAGTTGCAAAGGTTCAGAACAATTATGAGTAGCATCTTAAAAAGGTAATCGTTGAGATTTGCCTAAACGACATGAAATACAATCATGGGAAAAACTAGAGCTACTACAAATATGCTGTTGACTAAGTAAATTACGTAAAATAGAATTGCTACAATGGCCTAATCTACGATGCCACACAGGGCCAGAAGTGGTGATGGAAGATAATGCTAGAGGAGACGGACGACTGAGGCTGACAGGATAAAGATGACCTTTACTGGGTGCTTGAAGAAGGACAACCCCCGAAATTTTGTCCTTAACAAAAAAGGAATTTTTATCAAAAATTACAACACAATTGTTATCAGCACAAAGTTTTTGAATGGATAATAAATTAAATTTTATATGAGGCACATGATAAACAGATTTTAAAACATGAGGACGACTAGAGGAAAATAAATTAATATCACCAACATTAGCAATGGGAAGCTGAGAACCATTAGCAACACTAACAGAACGGGATCCGGTATAAGGGAATTTATTAACTAAAATACTTTCTGTGGGAGTCATGTGAGCAGATGCCCCAGAATCGGGATACCATAAATTGTCATTTGTGTCACCACTATGAACCATCAAAGCAACAAAAGCTTGACTAAAACGAGAAGGACAATGGAGGGCAGAATGACTTGCAGAAAAACAAATTTGACAAACAATAGGTGGTGGGACAGACCCAAGAATTCCCTCAGTCGATGGGAAGCCTGCATAGCCAGAGTTAGTATCACAAATAAAATAGGGATTAGCATTTAAAGTGGACAAAACAGATATACTAGCAGAACCTGAAGTGGTCTGGCGTGGAAGGTGTGCGCCAGGCTGTGATTGGCCGAAACCGGCCGCTGGTGGGACTTGGCCAGTGAACTACGGATCGGAAGAGTGTTGGCCACCTTGCTGGCCGTAGATGAGTTGGCCACCCTGCTGGCCGAGATGTGGCTTGTGTCCATTCGGGCCGAAGTGGGGCTGCCCGTACTGATTGCGCCCCCTGCCACGACCGCCACGGCCACGGCCGCCTCTCCCGCGGCTGGCCCTACCGCGCGGAGCATATGCGGGCTGGTGCGGCTGGTTGCCAACAGTAGCTCCAAATGCCTGATGAAGGCTGGTGGAAGCATGCTGACGATTGAATATAACCCGTTATTCGGCCTCCATTAGGCGAGGTTGTAACACATCAAAGGGAAATTGGTCGGGGAAAGGCATAATTGTGCCAACAAATGATTCATACTCAGGACCCAAACCCCGAAGAATGGACTCCAATAACTCCTTATCCGAGACTGGGGAATTAACAGCAGTGAGAGTGATGCACACTAATTAGTAGTGCATAATTGTATTTTTTTATGTTTCATTGATGGTGATTGTTTGACGTTTTATTTAGTTTGTAAACATTTGTGTGATTTTAGTTGTAATCGTATTTTAATTCTCATTTATAAGTTGTAAAGTATAGTTAGGATTTGTGGTGTCGGAAAGGAAGACTTTGAAGAGAAGAAAAAGGAATTTTGACTGTCCAGGAGTAAATACCTGACCGGGTAGGAAACTTCACCCAGTCGGGTCTGATTTGAAAACCGAACCACTGAGGAAAGAGCCGGACCCGATCGGGCCCCATACCTCACCCGGTCGGGCGAGAAGTGACCGGGGACAACCCGGTGTGCGAAGATCACCAGAACGTGGGGAAATATCTGATTTTGACCGGACCCGGTCGGGTGAGTACTTGACCCGGTCGGGTACCCGGCCAAAGGTGTTGAAAAACACCTATAAATAGCACTCTTTTTCTTCTCTAAAAATCATCCTTTCTTCCATACTCTTAAGCTCAGTTTAGAATAACATTTCTTTATATTTTTCTAGCTATGTTTAGTCTCCAAATGAGGAGCTAAACTTCCATTCTTGGTGTTGCTCTTGAAGCTTGTTGATTATTAAAGTTGTGAGTTATTTTCTTAACTTCTTTCCTTGAATATTAATTAATAGTTCTTTCCTTAATACCATCTCTATATTAATGTTGGGGAGTGTTGCTAAGATGACAATTAGTTAACATCTCGACATTAGTTAGAATTGTATTTTCTTCCTCTATATTAATGTTGGGGAGTGTTGCTAAGATGACAATTAGTTGACATCTTGATATTAACTATAGTAGGATTCATTTTCTTTAATAATATTCTTCCTTGAATATTAGATAATTCCTACTCATATTTCATATTAATATTTTGAACATTACTTAAAGGATCAACTAGTTTTGTTTCATATATTAATTATTACTAGAAACGATCAACGAACTGATGGTTAATCGTTGATGGTTTCACAAGTAAGTAACTTCGGTTTATTAATGCACGGTCGTGGTTAATAAACTTAAAAGGGATTAATTTTATTGGTTAAACCGAAACCGTTGTGTTGAAGTTATCAACCTCAATTGATTTCATCAAGGAGTTAGAAAGATTAAATGCTACTATTAAATCGGTATAAGGCGTTGTTCTATATTTGATTAATAGTAAGGGTTATTAATGAACGGTTGTTGTTAATAACTACCCTCGATGAAGTGGATATACTCCCCGATTGAGTATTCGAGAGGGAATAAGTTATAGATATAACAATGATCGACTAAAATATATCAACAAGTGGAAAGTAGCAATGCCAAGTCCTTTTTATCTTTGAATTAAATCACATATAGGTTGTTCATCTTAGTTCTTAATTAAATTAAATCACTCAATCCAAATCCTCCCCTTTTTATTTACTAAGTATCATAAAAAGAGAATTATTCCTTTCCCTGTGGTCTGTGGATACGAACTCTACTTCACCTA